AAATACTCTTTCACTAGATCATAACTTTGACCATAACCCTAACCTTAACGAATTTTAATAATTTAGTATGCCGGAAAGAGAATTATCTTCAGACAATAAACAAAGTGAGATTGTAACAAATCTTGAAAATTTAAAATATATGCTTGATATATGTCTCAGGTTGTTTAATAGAATGATATAATTTTTATCTGAAAATTAATGAATTTATATATTTGGCATCCAAAATCAGAAAAAGATGTAAAGCTTTATGGTTCACTCAGGCAGATTCTCGTAAAAACCCTTTAGGATTTATGTAGCGTTATCCTAAAGCAAATATGGTGCTTAATGATGATTCGGATATAATTAAAAACCTGGAATCTAGACTGAATGATTAATTTGTGAGTAGTAAAATAATTCTGTTCACAGACAACAAGAAATATTTTTCATGACAAAACATGGAAAAAAGTGATAGAAAATTGTTAGAAATTACTGAACGCATTCTTAATACACTGTAAGTAGTATTCCGATTCCTAAGCATGTAGTGTGTCGCATAGCGAACGAAGTGAGGGAACTTATATCTCGGATATTATAATGCCCTTGCTTCGATCTAGTCTGGGAAACCTACTCAATGGTAGTATCTGCTTAAGTACTGCAGAACGCCAGAGCATAATAAGCAAGGCTCGATAAAATGCAGGAGCGGACAAAGAACGAATGGGGAAGAAACCCGATATTATGGGGTTGCTAAAATATGATGAGAAAATCGCAGAATTTATGTTCGCAGAATGCTCTCGCATTATTTGTTGTAATTCAAAGAAGGATAATGATGATGTTAAATTATAAAGAGAAACTTTGGATGGAATGAGCTTCTTAGATTCATTGTGTAGGCCAACTAGTAATCAGTTCGGAGTTGTTGGAATTCGGGTGGTCGGAACCACTATACGATTAAACGTTCTTGTAAGAGACTTGGGTGGCATACCAAGCTATTTTCATCTCGACCTTGCCGAAATCCCTTTATCACCACGCTTATTATATACTAAAGCTCTTATTCATCTATTACTAACCTTAAGGAATATCTTGATTGTTAATAAGAGTTTACTAATAGAAACATTAGAAAAAGCCGAGACTATAGCTACTAATAAATTCATCCAACATGGCGTTCATTATCTTCGAAATTCTGGTTCAGTTAACCCGGCTTCGTTAAGAACCTTTTTTGTCTCTATTGTTAATCCATCGGCCATCCCATTCACTCCTTCTGTGATATCCAAAATTCCAGAGGTTATTGGGTCATTTGAATCAATAGAGGACAAATCTAGCTGTTTTAAACATTCACGGACTTCGTTTAACACCTCTTCAACTTCTATAGAACGGCCAGTATTTACCGAATTAACCTAATAAAAAAATAAGCACTGACTTAAAAATAACGATTTACCTTTTAAAGTATTGTTCGGGTGCTACACAAGGTCACGATGAAGGATAACCCAATCATATGTTAAGAATCCGTTCCTGGTATGCACTTCAGTTTCATTCAGTTCCTGGTAAAGAGTAATTGCGGATAGTTAAAATAAATATCTATATCCAGTAATAATATTTATATTGAGATGCTTTGAGTTGGTGGCATAATGATAATATCGATATTGTCTAGTAGCTAATTACACAAATATTCCCAAACCGGAATGTCAAAAAAAAAATTTGTTACACGATTAACTATATATACGTACGTACTCGAATCAACATTCAACATTGTCATTAATTAAAAAAAAATGGACTTTAATATTGATTTAACTAATGCAAGAAAAGCCGTTTCTTTTCCTGTAGAAGAACTGACTCATTTTATAAATGGTGGACCTGAAAAAACAGGTGCAAATAAATGTAATAGTATGAATTACGAAAGTGTTACCAATTATTCAAATTTTAATCAATTGCAGTTCGTCGTCGATGGCTTCGTTCCTTAGTCGATCCCAAAAGTGACCCAATATTCTCGAATATCGATCGACCATTTCTTTCAAGAGACAAATATTATATTCGAGTGGTGAAAAAATTAAAAAAAATGTTGCAACTAAAAAAATTATATAGTCTTCAAAAAGATGATTGGATTTATTTGACTACTGCTACAATGGAAATGTGCATTTCTATTCCGGTATTTTGTATAGAAAGCCTGAATTGAACGATGCGTTTTTTGTAATATGAGGTGATAGTAATTTGTACACTTTAATAGCATGATCTTTTTTTTATTCCAACCATGGAAAGACAAATGTCTGAAGAACAAAGCTCTAAATGGCTTCCTTTAGCCAAGGATTATTCAATTATTGGATGGCAATATTTAACTTCAATAATTGTATTTTCAATTGTTTTAGCCTAATCAAATAAGAATCACTTATCTTATCTTTCTTTATCAGTTATCTTCAAACTGAATTGGGGCATGGTTCCAACATCAGAAAGTTGGAGACAACGGCTACTTATATTCATGAAACAGTGAGTATTTAATACTTAAATTGTATGAATTTCGAAGGATAATTTGGTGATAAATTTAACCTACAAGGATGAATTTGAAATCCATTCACCAACGTTGACATCAATAAAATGGTAAATTACTATCATGTAAAGAATTTACACATCAAAATCGGGTTTTGCTTAATTAATATTTTTTTATATCTAGGTGGCCCGGTGCACTTGCACGAACAAGGTACATCACAAACATGGCTAATTTAAATGTAAATTAAATGATTAACGCAAATTATTTACTTAGCACTCATGGTGTGGTGTTTGCGCGTCTAATTATTGACAAAAAAGAATATGGCATTCATTCATTCATTGTGCAATTACGTGGGGAAAGACATAAACCCATGCCAGGCATCGAAATTGGAGATATTGGACCAAAATATGGATTTAATCATTTTGATAATGGTATTTATAATAAGAGTCGATGACAATCACCGACTATTTAGCCGACATTGCTTTGAGTGACAGTTTAGCATATTATTAGTTTTAGCACTTATGTGATGTCGGTTAGATGATTGGCAGTTAAAAATATTGTAGGTGAAATAATGCCTATAAAGAGTATGAATTATACTGAAGAGTTTAATAATTTGACATTGTAAACAAAGGATTCTTAAAGTTCACTCGAGTCCGTATTCCACGAGAAAACATGATGATGCGTTTTTCTAAAGTTTCCAGAAGTGGCCACTATTCCACACCTCCTCATAAAAAAATTATATATGATACACTAGTAGCAAATCGAACAGGTCTTATAGATATGTCCGCTTTATTTTTATCAAAAGTTTTAACTATTGCAATTCGATATTCGTTAGTAAGAAAACAAGGAGACAACTATAAAGATTTAAACAACGAAAATTTGATCTTGGATTATCAATACCAGCAATATAGATTGTTTTCTAGCATAGCGCTTGTGTATGTTGTGTTTTTTAATGGAATGTTTACACGGAAATTGTATGAAAATAATCTAAAAAATATTGAAAAGATGGATGTTAGTTTAATGGCAGAAGTTCATGCTATTTCGGCGGTATGTTAATAACTTCAGCTTCATTATGTTGATATAATTTTGATACATTAATATATTGTTTTTTTTATAGGGACTAAAGGCTCTATGCACGGATTTGGTCACTGAAGCTATAGAGGATGCAAGACAAAGTTGTGGAGGTATCTTATATATCGATTTTTAACGTACATTAGTTTTTTTTTTATTTTATAACGCTCTTAACGTATTGATTGAGCTTGCTTAAATATAGGCCATGGATATTCACATTTAAGTGGGTAGGTGTCTTTTGGTTTATATAAAGCAATTTAGTTGACAGCTGTTTCGTCAACAAATTTGGTCTGATTTAGATTAGGTTGGCCTGCTTTATAGTTATTGTTGGCTAGAAGTAGATCGTCGGCAAATTCTACCAAACGCTTTAGGTTATGCTAATTATACTGTACATCTTTAATAATATGATATGTTATAATAGGATACCTATTATACTGGAATTCTATGCGCAATATACAAGTGCAGAAGGTAATATATTTTCATGTACGATTGATTAATTTGGAGTCACTCAAATTCATTTCTATGACAATTCTTTGTAAACACAAATTTTCCTGAAACTAACTGTGCTTATGTTTATACTATATGCATTCATTTATATTGTGTAGGTGAAAATACAATTATGCACTTGCAAACGGGACGTTATCTTTTGAAATCTTTCTTAACTGCAAAAAAAGGTTTCCCGATAGGTGGTCAACTAAGGCACCTTTCTTCTTACTCCAAAATACTTATGGAAAAATGCACCGCTGAAACATTAGAAGACCTCTTAGATGCTGAAACTCAACTTCGCGCTTTTTGTCACATGTATTTACGACTTTTATCGAACCTCGATAACAGCATTGAAATATCTGTAGCAACACATCCACATGGTTATGATGGTTCAAAAGCAGATCATATGATTGATATTATTCATTTGTCTCGTGCATATTGTTATTATACAACTTTAACTAATTCACACGAAGGATTACAATCGGTAAAAAAAGAACGGCCAACCATATATCCAATTATTCGCACATTAATCGATCTTTATTTTATTAATACGGTTATCAACCAATCTGGAGATTTTCTGATAGATGGATACTATACACCGCATCATATTTCACTTTTGAAAGAAGGACAAAAGAAATTATTAAATATTATTAGACCTGAAGCTATAGGTTTAGTTGATGCCTGGGAGTTTAGTGATAATGATTTAAATAGTGCGTTGGGAAGGGGAGATGGAAATGTTTATAGAGCCTTATACGAATGGGTTAAAATGGAACCCACAAATATTTCGGAAAGACAAGGAAATATTGTTGGCTACGAAGAAGGACTAAAAGATATTTACACTGGAAAATATTTAAAAGAAATTGGAATAGATACTGTGAGACCTAAACTATAAATTAAAGGACATATAAAATATATGTAGCTTTGTTTAAAGCATAAAGTTATCGACTTAAATTATCATTTGGGGTATTTGCCTTGAAAATGGGTTCTGGATTCCCCCAAACCAAAAAATTAGATTTTTGTTAAAGGTAGAGGTTACAATTTTCAAATTATATATAAAACTTATGATAAGTTTTTATTTAACTAGGATAATGGAAACCATTAGCAGTCCAAAGGACTATATATTTTTTTTTACATGACACATGTGTACATTGGAACAACCAATTACATTAGAGAATTTGGAGATTTGTATAACCTGTTTACTCAACGGTTTAGTCCTCTGGACAACTAAAAATAAAAAAATATTTTCTTAAGTAAACAGTTTCTAAATATTAATAAAAATTGTAGAATGGGTTTTTCTGATTCTAATAATAATAAATTTATCAAAATTGGTTAAATATTGTTTGAGATATATAGGTTTCAAAATTAAGTATCAATATAGATCATACAAAGATCATGTAATTTGGTTCAATTAAGATTAATAATTTTGTGTAACTACAGAAAATTTAAAAGCATTACAAAGAACATTGCAATATATATAAGTATATTTTTTTAAATATTTTATTTATTAAAAAGTTTACTGTTATAAAAAATATATTATTTTATATTATATAAAAATTTGATAAAAAAAGGTGTAGTGACCTAGTGAAGTGGTCAGGTTGTCAACCCCCAAGTGGCAGGTCTAGAGTTCAAATCCTATGGATGATGAATTTTAAAAAATAGGTCTGTGTTATGGTAACTGTTTCTGTCGATTAGTTGGATTAGTATATCTGTAACCTTTGTTGCATTATCTCGAATGGAAGTTCAGAGCATCTATACTAAGTGTAATATTACACCTACACAGAGAAATGTTAATAACCAGTGTGCATAAGACTTTGGTACAAACCCATGATAAGACCACTATGCATAAAAAGCAAAGAAATCAAAGAGTTGGAAACTCACTTGGAAATTTCAAGTAAAAAGATAGCACAAAACTTTTAATGGTGCTGTCAGACTGATGGAAGCCTATGAAGCATTCCAAAAGGATAGGTAGATAAACTGGATGACAAGATGTGTAGAGGAGCACATGACCAACCAGGCTGTTAGAATCATTGAAGGAAAAGAATACTAAGATATATTATACCAGGCTATCTGGATTGGAAGTCTGAGGAGTCTTGTCAGTCCTGAGTAGCAGTTAGTAGGGAATAATAGAAAGGATATCAGAAAGATGGGTACTGGGGTTTTGAGTAAATCTTATAAGGGTAAAAGCAGTTTAATGATTAGTCCTGACTGTAAGTAATGGTTTAGACCAAAGTGTGACTAGGTGAGCTGTAAGTATAGGATACAGAATGCACTAGTAGGTTTAGTACAAAGTTAAAC